GAAAGATCCCAACATCAAGCCGAGCTAGCAAGGAAAATACCCTACACCCGGAGAGTACGTAGAGTGAAGCATTAACATAGGTAAGGAAGGTGACCATGGCGGGCATAATCTTATTACGGTCGACACAGATCAAAGAAAAGCTTGAGCTAAAGGAAATTATTTCTTTATCACTGCCGGTTGTAAACTAGAAAGTGATGTTACGAAAAAATTTCCAGATTGGGCATCCTTTTCAGCCACAAAGTTTAGCATCCATCAACCAATTAAGTACGTGTGCGCTGAGAGCGCGATTCACTTCCAAGAAAGCCATATGAATGTTTCAAAGAGGAATCGTTTCATGCTCTGCGGTAATTTCTGCTGCTGAATAGCTTGTTCTGTGGATCCTGACTTTACAAAATGGGCAGGGTCACGAACTAGATGTGCGACCACCATAGATTCACGAAACAAAAAGTAGCATCTCTGTTGCCCTGAATGACCTCTGATACGTGCATCCGTTGAGAGAGGGCTCATTGACTCAGAGTGGGAGAAGGCTGCATCCTCATGTAATTAAGTATGTGTTGCAAGTATGCAAACTATTATCAGTTTCCAAGTCAGAAAAATGGCATCCACGGCCATATCATTGAACTCATGTGCTAATCTCCGGGATCAACGACTGATTTCAAGAGTGACTGATTGCATGAGTGTAGATCACAGTCTGCCATGAGAAGTGCTTTTCACAAGCGGAGGAACTTGCTGTGGAATCGAGATCAATGCTGTCCGGGGAGATCCAGTGAAGATCTACGTTCGTAGGCTCATACAATTCGTCAGCTCCAACTTATGCGCAAGCCATCCATAGCTGGCCCGGGCCTTCTGCAAGATTCAGACATGGCACTTTTGCTCGTCCTTACTTATAATGAAGATTCCGGAATGCCTTTGGTCATCCGACATCGAATTATCTCCACCACAACCTCTGTCATGCTCAAGAAGCCGCCACCTTATGTGCTCTCTGAATGTGCTAGGTTATGAGCACTGCGTCTTATCGACGCCACGGTGTCTGGTCTCACTGCACTTACGGAGAATACTGTTCCACTCTTCTGTGACTCGGGAGAACGCCCGAGTCCATGAATGATCCATCTGCCTGCATATACCACGAAGTGAGTACATAACAACTAGTGAGTCAATCACTTTTCCACCCACCAGCATGGATTCCAGTAAGACTCCTAGAGGTGGAGAAATCACGGAAGCACCGTAGTGGACTCTTCCTTTCTCATCCTGTCCGAACTCATGTGTTTGATTAATTTTTTCCTATCTATGTTTTCATTTTTATCAACTTTAAGGGTAATGAAATCATTGAACTTTGAAAGGGCTCAATTATGTATATAGCTGTAGATGAGTGAACAATATGTATCATTCTAAGTTATATAGGCAAAACAAAATTTACTGTTCTTTTCTATAATATACGAAAATACTTTTCCACGCTAAACATCAGATATACAGTAAATTTGGTAGACTTTTTCTAATTAATCAAAAAAATATTTATAAATAAATAAAGACATGTCAACAACTCCATCAGTTTGATAAATCTTCACTTTAATTTTCTAACCGATTAGATTTGTCATAGTTGAATGATACAATATGATATATCAGTTTTATCATTACACCTCTTTTGATATTATATATTCAACATGGCGATAAGATTTGACTAGACCCTCTTGGTTTTGTTGCTCGGAAACCTTCCTGTTCTTCAGTTGGCCTCGTTATGTTGTTGTGGCTTTCGGGTACTCATGGAGTCTCATATCCAAATCGAGTTATGGATCAACATCAGCTTCGCATTGTAGAAGATCATTATCAAGGAGGGGACTCGATTTTTTCATTAGACACAGCTCACAGGAGCCCGGACAAGGGAGAAGGAAGCACAACGAGTCGTCGACAACTGCAGGTTCCTGGATCACTGGGAATCTATGCCCGATGCCACCCACTGATCATCTTCGAAATCTGTGAACTGTGCTTGATTCTTATCTGTATCGTAGCACTAGCACAAGTACCAGCAACCGACACGAGGACGTGGGAACTCGAACTCGCAACACCAACTTGACGACGACGTTCCGATTCAATGGCGGGTCCGGGAAGTTGGGCCTCCGTGGGCCTGTCTAAAGTCTTCTACTGACTGTCCATCTTCCAACTGATCGACGAGTTTCGATTACGGCGATGCTGAGACTTTGTCGTGCGAGTGACGTTGCCAGGTCTCGAAGTACTATCTTCATACACCTTCATCCGAATGCGCTCCAGCGGATCAGTAGCTACTGGATGACGAGACACCAAATATTGCAAAACTGACGAACAACTCGTAGCCATATTCTGTAACGCTTGTTGAAGATTCGGACTCGTAGCCCAGGTCAAGGTGCATGAGTGCGTTACGTTTACTTGATTAGACTTTTCTGTTCCACATAAGAGACATGCCTGTAGACAATCAGTTCGAGTGGATAAAGCGTGAGCAGGATAGATAATTCCACTTTTTTAAATCACACCTGATTGGTTCGGGCAAGCTTCATACTTGGTTACGGTTCGGGAATATATTATGGAGATTGCTCTGGGTAAGTTTGATGGGTGGACTCGAAAGACAAAAGACTGGGAACGACTGGTCAACTCGTAATCGATGATCGACTAAAATGGGCACCAATCTGATTCCTCGAGCTGGTCGATAGACGGCCTCACGGCGATAGTCAATGCTAGAAGAAGAGCTCTGGTGCCTTTCCTTTCTGGCAATAACGCATGGCCTCGATGATGACAACGACTGTGATGCAATAGATTGGATGCTCTTGTTCTGAGAAGATGTGGTCTACTTCAGCCCATTGCAAGTTGCCAAATTTGAAGTCACCTGATTATGCCAATTGTGATTTGCGGAAATTTCAAATGTGGCAGAGATTATCTATGTCAGAAGTATATATAAATTTTCATCAGACGAGAAATATATGAATATCTAGTGCCTGAGTGTCCCTTACATATACTTGAAATAGGAAGATAAAAATTATATATATATATATATATATCATCTCTTAGCTTTGGATAGCGGCAAGTTAAATGGACGGATAACTTTAGGTCTCATCTTTCCGCCCAACGGCTACTTGCACCCGTTCAACTGCGTTTGCAAAACTCACTGTCTTCGACGTCCAAGTTGGTAACTCTTATGGGTCCCAAGCGACAAGTACAGTAGGAAACCGCAATATATCTAATTTCTCGAGTCAAGACATTTGAGCGTCGGTGGAACCTAACCAACTTGGGTAATCACTAAGCCTTCGAAAGGTAACGTAAAAGGTAACCAGGTAAGGTATGTGCCTCTACCTTTACCCTACCTTTTACCTTACACGTAGCACTATGGTCTACCTTTACCTCTATCTCATGGTAATTACCCGGTTACCCGTAGCACTATGGTCTACCTTTACCTCTATCTCATGGTAATTACCCGGTTACCCGGTATGGATTTCACAGACGGCATTCACTGGTTTGACTTGCTATCTCCTTCAACTATAGACCCGGTATGGATTTCACAGACGGCATTCACTGGTTTTACTTGCTATCTCCTTCAACTATAGACCCGATGTTAAATGGTGCTACAGCTGCCTGTGAAATTTTGATGTGTTATACCTTCAACGATAAACCCTATAAAAAAGAGACCGCAAGATCACTGCAACTTATGATTAAGAAAGTAAACAATTGCAAGTTTCCCGAATTATGCAGAAGAGCTATTGAAATCGAAATTACCAATTCGAGATAAACCGTGCATTGTTGTTTTCTAGATCCCGTCGTCGGGGAGAATGTGCAGAATGCCACTCAGTAATTCTGTAAGTGTCCATGTTTTTGCTTTTCGCGGGTAAGAGATTCGTCAAGGAGAATGTGCAGAAAAATGTTCAATTTTTTTTGTTTTTTGCGGGGTACCCAGTAATTACTGGGTAACCCGCGAGGCTCTACCTTCTACCCTACCTTTACGTTACCCTATAGCCAAACGTATTACCTTTACCTTTCACACTTTTACCGGGTAATCCTTAAGGGTTACCTTACCTTGCCAAGGGTCAGTCACCACCATACTTTATTCAGAGTTTGTCTTCGACTTTTTGGTCGATAAAGTAATTGCATCAGGTGCTAACCACGAGGACCCTCAACATCCTCAACCCGGTCATGTTCAGCTGTTCAGACTCTTCCGTTTTGCAGCTACTTTTAGTCCACCAACATTCCACTTATCGTGTCCTTCATCCAACATGCTGCTAAAGTTCAAGTGCAGATTAATCGCCCAACTTGCTGATTCAGGAGATCTTCGAACCATTTTGCAATGCAATCCCTGGCGTTTCCTTTGACTAACTCTTCTTTCTATTATTCATTTCGTTTATCAACTTTCACAATCTCTATTGGCAGGAATCCACATCCATTTTGTGCTAGTCCAGGGACTTCACATCCTGAAAGCTCTCATCTGTTAGTGCTTTACGCCTCTCATCGGCGCAAAGATTTGTCTCAACGTTCACTCTGTATTTATGGTCACACAGGTTACACGCAGAATCTGAGCATGCTGAAGGGTTTTGATCGATCACAAATGAACTAGCGTTCTCGCTTTATCAACTAGCGAACAACATCGAAGCCAGCATTGAATATTGAAATCTCAAAGTTTACCAAAAAGGCAGTATCAGCAACTAATGTACTGTTTGTTAGCAGACCTTGGATCGACAATATCTATCATGGGAGAATGGATTTGGAGAAAGATTCCTTGAACTTTATCCTGGTTTCGAGCTGGCTGGGCATTGGTGATTAATAATCACCAATGCCCAGGTGCCCTTCTTCTACCTAAGGTTTGATAATCACTGACTATCAAACCTTAGGTAGAAGCAGGGCAATTTGTTTTTCACTGAGGTTATTTCCATGGACTCTTACCTTCGTACATGAATGATGTGTACGGAGGAGTTTCTGAAATCCACATTGTGGTCGGAGAGACAACAAATGCGACAACTAAGCTATACTCTCATTATACAAGGTTGTGCAGGGTTAAGAGCAAGAATTAGTTTCAAATAATTTCAATTCACCGGGATCCTCTTCTTAACAGAACATGGATTCCTGTATCAAGTACAGGACACAATGTCCAAAAACCACCCGCAAGAGTGAGTGATGCTTGCCTGGACAGGTTTTTTTCAGAAAGACGAAGGAGCTCTCAATATGAGAACTCGCACTAACAAGTGAATATTAAAACTCACTCGACCTGGAGCTCTTGAAAAAGAGATCAAGCTAAAAGTATGTTATAGTAGTGGTCTGCTACTTAAGAACTTCTTACAGTTGTTATGCTACTTCTTCCTCCTCTCCTTCTGTTTCCTCTCCCTCCGTGCTCTCTCCCTCGGTGGCCTCAGATTCGGTGCCAGCCTCAGATTCAGTGCCAGCCTCCGATTCCGTCCCTTCTCCAGTTCCAGCGCTAGCCTCAGAGTCAGTACCTCCTGGAGTTTCCGTTCCTTTCACTGCTCCCTCCTGCCCCTCCTACATGGTATAATTGGCATAAAAATTGGAATCCAGTCAAACTGGACTGCTGTTTTCACACTTGTCAGTCTCTTCTTCATTTTTACAGAAGAAATGTGGTTTGACTGATGGTTGTATGGAAACAGTAAGGACAATATATACTTGCAAGTTGTTTTTAAATAAAGAATAAAAAATATCTAGGCTCCCACCTCTGGGGCCGTAAAACGTTTGAAACTGATGCTTTCTGGACACAGTATTACGCCGTGGACCGTGAATCAAATTCCTCTATTTCCATCTCCTTTTCTTGCAATCAGCAAGACGCAAAATTCTGGACGCCGGTATCTATTATTCATGGTGTACTATGAGAACCTATGCGGCAGTGAAACAGACAGTTACGGAAACAAGAACAAGAAAAAAAAACTGACGAAACAGAAGCCAGTATTTGACCATTTTGTTTTTTCCTCCACTCTTGCTCACTCTGCATTTTAGCTTCGTGAGAAGGTCTACCGTAAGGTAGAAAACTGCCAAATTATCGCCGGTAATGAAATGAGCCTCGACAGGGAGATTTCATGGTTGAAAACTGGCAGATTTGGTAACCAGCTCTTTTGTTTCAATCAAGAAAAGCAGAGAAAACGAGACACTTTTCACATGTCGGTTCGATACATCTGACCGGTCTGTGAGGGTGTTCGTTTTCAACCTTTCACCTCTCCAGCCATTAGAGCTTGAAGCAATGAGCAAAAGCTAAAAGCTGAAGTAAGTATTCTTGAGAGAAGAGGAGCCAGTACACGGGAAGTATATTCTCTGGACGCGCTTGGTACAGGATGAAAGATTGCGAAACTCAATTTCGCATTATTAGTGGGTCATGGACAGACAAAGCACAGAACAGAGGAAAATGTACATACCAGCCTTGTGTGGCTGGGCTGGATTATGGAGTATGGAAGAGAACGAGTTAGAAGAAACCCATCGCTGGATTTGATTTTGGAACGCATTTGATGAACGAATGCGTTCCAAAGTCCGATGAAGAGAAATTCAATCCTGTCACTGGGATCAAACGTCGACTTGTCCAGGAATGGGAAGAAAAAATCCACTCCGTTATCGGGCTGAAATGTGGATATGCAAGGAGATATTTTCTGGGCAGAATAGACAGCTCGTGTCTTTCCAACAAGAATCTGATTCTGATAAGAACGCGAGGAGTGTCGCTCGACGCATCAAGCACGCTTGCAGGGTGTGACTCCTAAGGACATTCACAGAAAGCCGGACTGCGAATTGGGAAAGCGAAGATGATTTTCCGACTGGATGAAAGGGTTAAAAAAGAAAAGGAAAGAAAAGGCATGCACTATGAATCAGTGCAATCTAAAGGTAATAACCCCCACTTGGTTCTGCAAATCATCAAGCTGGTGCGCTTGTTGCGCTCCTTTACTCTCTTGCTGCTGAAGCTTCACGCCGTGCTCAAGAGTGAGATTCTCCAACGCAGTTATCCTCACTGTCAGGGCTTCATGATTGGCTTGCATCTTGGTAGAGATGTCGGCCATAATTCGTTTTTCCATCTCAACAATGTCCACATTGATCTTCTCCGTCGCAGCGAATAATTTATCGAGTTTTTGGTCGAGGTATTTGGCCATAAACAGAGCCGAATTGTGCAATTCGGTCGGGGGTGGAATACGGACTTCTGCCTATGATGAGCAACACACACTGTCCACCATTAGCTGATACCAACGTCAAGACTTTTGATGAATGTTATTCACGTATTCAGCCCCAAATCCGGAAGAAAGAGAAGAACACTTTTGCTCCAGGTTATGTAGGTGGACTTCGACAAGAAGTGACAAAATCCAGATGTGCCTAGGGAATCGAATCTTCGTCTGATTATAAAGTTTCTATATCGGATTAAGTGGATGCAGGTATGTTCGGAAAACAACACTCCTTACTCAATTCATCTGGTGACAAGCTGTTTGAACCGCAGTACACAATGGGATATCAAGCTAAGGACAGCTCCGGTTAAGCAATGCAGTGACTTGGAACCCTGGACTCTCTGACGTCGTACGACTCTCTACGGTCGGGTTTTGGTTTGATGAGCCCGATCCAGTTGCAGTGGAGCGTAACAATTCGGAGTTTATAAGGTGCGCCGTGTTTTCTTCCTCTCTGTGCAAATTGAGACTCTGGACATTGCAGTTTAACAAAATTCTCTCTCTCTCTCTCTCTCTCTCTCTCTCTCTCTCTCTCTCTACATTTTCAGCGCTGCATCAATTTCGGCCATTAATGAGCTCTTGAAATAAAGGACCGCCTGTGCAAGAAAATGGCGTCGATGTCTAAGATTCATGAAACCAAGACACGAACTTAGAGTCGATTCGATATCGGCAGGCGTCCGAGTTAGAGCTCAACCGTTTTCGACGATCCGCCCTCGCTGTCCTCCCCTTCCGTCCCTGACTCCGTTCCCTCATCGGTTCCTGTCATCTCGGACATATCATCATCCTCTTCCTCCGCCATGGCTCTCCTCCGCAATCAACAAGCCGAAATTCCTCGAACAAGAAGCGAAGCCCAGGAGCAATGCTGCCGCGAGGCGAGGCGCTCGGAGCAAAACGGGCGTTGTGGCGCCGCGGCCTCGTCGACGAGAGGAGAGGCAGAGCGGAGCCAGAGGGTTTTAGAGCGGAGAGGTATGCGATGGCACGAAAGGACAGGGAGAAGTCGGACGATAGGACGTGCGTCCCAACCCCCGGGAATTTCGCGCGACCGCGGCCCCGCCTCCTTACATCTTGATACTCTACTCCTTCCGCGCCGACGGGGACTATCAGTTTGTATGTATAATTGAGGTATAGATTCATGGTATAGTCTCACTGTTAATACATCACTACCAAACCATACCTTGTATAATTGTATAGTATAAAATCCGTAATTGAGTCTGTAAATGTTATTATACGTGTAATTCAAGTCTGTGATAGACTCTATTTGAAATGGTGCCACACTATGCTATTTTGGAGAAGTTCGTAATTTGATAGCTGATATGAAATTGAATATCTCGTCCAGGATATGCTGGTTCTGGTAGCAGTCATGAATTTGATACCGTTGATATTTCGGAGGGCGTCGACGGCATGAGGAGTATATCTTCGAGTCCGAGTAGATGATGGACGAAGGTAACATATCCGAATAATAACATAAAAGTTTAGGGTAACATCTGAGATGAACCTTTGAGTGTTGTATAGTACATTAAGTATTATACGGTATAATACTGCGCAGTCCGAGAAGAATCCAATTATACAGACCCATAACGGGGCCCTCAATTTCTCGACGCTTTCAAGTCCGTCGGGTTCGAAAGGCCGAGGCCATCCATCTCTTCAGGCCCGAGCCCTCCCGACGGGCTCGGGCCTGATGCTGTCCGACCGGCGCTACCTTCTGGACGTCCTCAGTCCTGCGCCAATGTGAACTGGGGGACTCGATTTCCTTCCGCGGCATCTGTCGGACGTGCGCGACTCTTCGATGCCAACTCACGAACATTGCTGTGTTCGGAGCGTCAGACTTCCTTTCTGCCTTCTTACATTATAGTCTCAAGATCTTGCCTTCACTTCCCAACCCAACTACACATTCCGCGCGATGAATGTTGATTGGGGAGTGGCATGAGCTTGGCATTTGAACATACCAAACTCTTGCCACTCCTCCATGCCATCCAATAGGGTTGAATTATAAGCCAATGAAATGAGCGGTGACAGCTAAGGTATTGTTACTGTTTCAGAGTTCGAAATTAGAGAAAATCCAATTGATGGAGACAAAAAAAATATCGATCCAAGAAGATGATCTCGAATCTCCAAATGATATTATATGTAACTATCGATCATGACTCAGATATATTGAGATAAAATGAGAATTTGCTATATTCTGTTGCTTAATTTCCAAATATGTAAGATGTATTATTTTATGAACAACATTATTACGTTTTTTTGTTTTTTGCAATTCGTAGAAGATGAGTGATTTTTGTATGCCAGGTACACCTCTTTATTTACAAAAATAACTATATTTCATATGGAATTGGATCCAATGATAAAAATACTATTTTTTAATGATAAAATTTTTTCTTTTTTAGATTTTGAATATATAACATATATATATATATATATATATATGAAATACTCTCATTGACGCTGCATAACATGAATATTCAAACGCTTGAATAAATTATATCAAGCAAGCATGAGCACGTCGACACGTTTGACCATTGTAGTGGTCAAGTGCCAATCGATCAGCTGCCAGTTACAAAGGACCAAAAGTGTTTTCCCGATACGTTAGTTCATAACCTCTTCTTGAATATAATATACCGGGATTGACCAGTAATTTGTAGAGAGTGTCTTGAAGATATTATCAAATACAATTGCATCATTAATCAATTATATGAAAAAAAATAATTTTGTAATAAATTAGATTCAAAGTGTTTTTCATACTGAAATAAAAATCTGAATATCTATGATGAAGTTAGAAGATTAAATTTTAACTTCATCATAAATATCTAAACTTTCCTTTCATAAGTCAATACGTACATGTGTTTTTTTTAACTATAAATAGAAAAATATCATTATTTAAGATAATTATGTATAGTTATTTGTGGTGAATATTAAATCTTAAAATAATCTAATTTTTAAAAGAATGATAATGTATTATCCATATTCAAACATTAACGCTATATAAATGAACTTTTATTAAAATTGTAAGGAATGACTAGTTATCCCTCACTTAGGGCTAAATAGCTCTCACCCTCATATGAAGTCTTATTTGATTGATTGAACATCCTATAGTTGCTATTGAATCACTACTACCATGCATCTACTATTACCCTACATCAACCAATAAGAGAATTGTATACACTATATTGACCAGTAAGAGAACTACGTATACTAGAGTGAGGGCTAATTAGCCTTAAGTGAGGGATAACTAGTCGCTCCTAAATTTTAAAATTATGTATAAAATATTCAATATGTGTATAAAGTCTACTTGATGAGATAAAAATAACACTACCTTTGATTATTGTAACTTATTATACATAAACTATTGCCTTGTTTTATCCATGTGAAATTAATTTCTTTCAAAGATAATATAAGCGAGCTTTTGGTTATACAGCCTAACCTTGATAATGTCAACCTTGTTAATTAAACATCTTGATATTGTCACCTAAAAGTTTGAAACTGATTTTCCTAGTGTAAAACTTCCTCGTTATTATCACTATGACCAATGATAATGTCACTATTTTTTTCCAAAATCTGTAGTGTAAGTGTGATAATATCAAGTATGGATGGATTGTATGTGATAGTCGGATGGACATTTTGTAGTAGCAAAAATGTCATAAGCCGCCCCTATGATAAATGAAATGTTATTCAGAGGGTCATGAACCGCCCCCTTGCACCAACCTTGAACATTCTTGATGATTCAAAATTTCAGTTTCGTGGTCATTTGTTGGGTCAACATCGTGTATTTTTCGTTCATCTAAAGTATGAGTACTCACACCACATTGCACTCAAAGAAAGACGTAGTGTTTCACAATCGTAGAAAGTTGTCATTGCTTAGGTACTTGGTTTGATACATCTTGTTGTTGCTTCGATCTTACACAAAATTAAGAGGGAGTTTTTGACAGCGCTTACTTTGATGAGCAGTATTCGAATTTGTTTTACTCTCGACACTTGCAGCTCGAGCAACAAGAAGGCCAGCTTGAACGGACATGCACCTCTAACATCCAAAGGCCCTGCGTGAGCGGACACACTATCGCACCTGCACCAGGTAAGGGCTGAAGCCCACTCTCAACTCTAACTTACTATGTGTCTCATTTGTGCGAGAAATTTCAGTTCTTTTTTGGATCATGAGCATGGTGGGAGCACAAAACTAGTTTGTTTTTTGAATTGATGGTGTTGATAGTTTTGATTTTTGCTCCTTCTGGTGGACTTGACCCAGCTTGAAGTTCGTGGTTTTTAAGCTTTTTTCTTTGATGTGAGAGCTTGGTTTCTTCTGTGAAGATGATTGTTTGGAATATAGTTATGGGGGTGAGTGTGCTTCTAGATAAGTAAGAGTGTTGTGCGGTTTTGGTTCCTGTTTTCTTGCTGTGCTTGGTGATTTCAATTCAATTTCCATGTTTCAGAATTTCATGTAGGGAGTGAGTCGATGTGTTCTGTGGAGATCGCTTTCGTGATCTTTTGAGCATCGGCATGCAGATGCATTTGTATGAGGTTGACCTCTATTATGAGTTCTCAATTTTGATAGATCAATTAACAAGGATATCAAAATCCTCGCAGTCACCCACTTGACTCTGCCTAGACAACCTACGATCAAATCTCGGCATCTACGGTGCGTTACTGTTTTGATTGAATTTGTGATGACACATGAATAAAGTTGTTGTTGAAACAATCAAATGCACCAGTTTTGCTTAATTATCCTAATGACTTATATTGAGTTGTTCATTTTGTGAAATGGTTTGACAGATACATGTACTTCCAATTGCAAGTAAATCCACGCTCAAAAAGGTGGATTTATCAACCTATGATAGGAAGAAAATTTGTGAAATCCACAAAGCTCATTCTAGTTTGAAACAGAAAGACCTCACACATTATATGATGGATCAAAATAAAATTCAAGCTTGTGGATTGAACCACTATTTCCAATATTCTTCGTGGAAAAGAAAAGTGGCTGAGTGTGCATACATCTGTGCGTGAAGTCAATGTGCGACGTGTTCGAGTTGGAAAATGGTCTTAACTTGAAAAAGCTTTGGTTTTATGGTTTGGACAAGTTAGGGCACAAAGGGGAGTTGTAATTGATGACGTCATTATGCACAAGGCTATGGAATTGAGGAATTCATTTGGCATATACGACATTGAGTTCAAGCTTTCTCATGGGAGGTTGCAAAATTTCAAAACTCGACATGGAATTAAGTGTTATTATTTGCATGGAGAAAGTGAGGATGCAAATGAGGTTGGAGTTGCATTGGCCATGGCAAAGATCCCATTCATATTGAAGAAATATAATCTAAAAGACATCTTCAATTTGGATGAGACAGGTTTGTATTACAGAGCCTCTCCTAGCAAGACTTTGAATATTATGAAGACAAAAAGAAATAAGAAGAAGAAGTATCGTGTGACATTGAGACTTTGCATTATTAGCTCAGTGAAGGAGCGATTGAAGCTTGTTTTCATTCACAAATCAAACCGTCCAAGATGCTTTCCTCAAAAGTTTGATCCAAATGGTATATTACATTATTATTCTAACAATTCAGCCTGGATGAATGATGATGTTTTTACACATTTGGTGAAGAGTGGGAACCGAAGAATGGCATTGCAAGATAGAAAGATTTGCATTATTATGAATAATGCAGGAAGCCATGATATTCATGGTGAGATCAAGAAAGTTATAGATGGATTTAATGTTTTTTTACTCTCCCATATCACTATCTTGTTCCTTCCACCAAATGTGACTTCCATTGTTCAGCCTTTGGATCAAAGAGTGATTGCAGCATTCAAAATGTGCTATAAGCCCAAGCTTATTTCTTGTACTATTGATAATTCAAATGAAGATTTGGAAAAATTAAATGTTATTTTCTTTCAAGCAATGTTATGGTGTGTGATGGCATGGCATGAATCAGATGATCAAACCATCAAAAATTGTTGGAGAAAGTCCGCCTTACTACCTGCAGAGTGAAATGTAGATATCAATAATTCTGATGAACGTATGAAGTCCAAAATAGAGTAAGCAGCTTTGGAATTGGGCAATCTCATCGCCGCATTGAAATTGGGTT